GGTGCTGTCTTGCATACACTAGGCAGGCGATTAGGAAGTGGTGGACGGTCTCTTTGTGCTGGTGGCATTGTTGGTAGGTAGGGCTTGGGACCTTCGTGATAGAATGGAGGTGTTTGTTCAGTGGTGCGTGTCCAATGTGGAGCTGAAGGAGAAGGGAAGGGTGTCGCATCTTCCAAATCATACATCGAGGCCTCGGTCGTTGTCTTCACACACTGAGCGTGTTCGCGTCTTAGCTTCCAACAAGAGCCTGTTGTATATCGAGTGCGCGGCGTAAATTGACGAATACCGTCGTCTGTTGGTCGGTGCGGTTCAGCTTCTCTAAACAGCTAGCAAAATCATCAACAAATGCCAAAATTCACGGTGAAGAGGCTCGCGTAGCCGCTGAATCAGTAGCAAGAGATGCACTGACGACAGGAGGGGTATGTAGAGCAGTGGCCATCCCAGGGCCGTACAAGTTCTGAAGCTCAACAATAAGCAAAGTGCTCCGTATTCTTGCCATGCAAGCAGGTGGGACAGGTGCTGCCAAGAGACCCTAGAAGAAGATATCATCCAACATACTTGCAAGCTCTGTGCGTTTACAAGTGAAATAAGATATGATTATATTGACACTACGCCCCTTATAATATTGTTTCGCGTACCTGATCTCTCAGTTCCAATTCGCAATGTAACACCACGCAGAACAGGCGCGGGCAAAGCAGACAAATTTTCTGCATAGCAAGCATCTGTGTAAGCTAGAAAACCACCGAGGATCATCTTTTAGTCTAGATATAATGCACAAGGTAGTAGCTGGGACTACTGCGAGGAGGAGATTGCCTTGTTGAGCAGCCTCTTGATGAACCTTGAGGCGTTTGCTACAGTGTACAGCAGACTCGAAATGCGCGCGAGCGAAACTCAAATATTGAGATATCACCCACATGAACAGATAGACCTACCTCATCAAAAACTACGGCGACAGATCAATAAAGGGGACCGCAGAGTCTAAGACACGAGTTGTTACTGTGGGGGGCGAGTGGTTGTTGTAACCAATGACGAAAAATTTCAGCTCTTGCATATAAAGATTCATGATATTGCGGGTAGTACAATTTAAACGAAGCATTATAGAATAGAGGACATGTGAAGGATGTTGTGAGGTGGGCAATCTGTAGCACTGAGGACTCAAGGAGACGTGCTAGCCCAGTGGGGTGTTGTGAGAGAAACACAGACGTTCTGAGTAAGTTCGTCAATAAAATAAGGACCCGAGAGAAACCACAAAAGACGTAATCGGTGTCAGTTGTCTAAGGGCCTGGACAGCTGCCGTTTGTTTATCAGTTTGTTTCTCAGTTAGTTTCATTTACCACAATATATACAAACAGCAGTGACATAGGGTTTAGTCACACATACTAAGGACTCAATGCCACCTCCACTGGCAGCAAGAGAGCAAATTCACCAGTTCTATGTCCTCCGAATGGCAGCAGCAATGGTTATCCAGCTCATAATAGGTGCTATAATTGTTTACATGACCCCATTTCTCAATAAAGAGCCTTACCATACCTTGATCCTCTCTGGGCATGCATGGGTGCAAGAGCTTGTCAATGGACATCCCAACCGGATCAAAAATGAGCTTGGATGAGAAAGGTCATATTTCACACACTTGTACAGGAACTTCAGGCTTGTGGACTTTGTGATTCAAAGTATATTTCACTTGATGAACAGATTGCTATATTTCTCTACACCTGTGTGACTGGGTTATCAAGCCGTCATGTTGCAGAACACTTCCAGCACTCTCACACAACAATACAAAAGTATGTTCACCTTGCAAAGATATTTGTACTACCAGTAGCCTCACACAGGCCTTATCATATATTTCAAGAAAGTCCTACTTGCCATATCTTCGGCTCCATTCTACAACAAATTTGTATCCCTTCCGCACGACAATGCACCCATACCGAAGGAAATATTGGAAAATTCTAAATTCTTCCCATACTTTTCAGGTGCACTCCAGGCAATTGATGGTACCCACATTGCATGCTGCCCATCTGCAGCAGAACAGCAACTATCACGAAACTGCAAAGGTGGCATCAGCCAAAATTGTCTTGCTTGCTGTTCCTTTGATCTCCAGTTCCAGTATGTCCTCAGTGGTTGGGACGGATCAACATCAGACTCGACACTCTACAATAATGCCCAGCTCACAGACCTATATATTCCAGAAGGGAGATATTATCTCACAGATGCTGGGTTTGGGATATGCAACTCACTCCTTGTCCCATACTGAGGTGTTTGGTACCATCTGGCTGAATGGGGGCAAGCTGCAGTTTGGTGAGTGATATACGACTCACTGTAGTGTCTTCTCAACACTGTGACAGGCCAAAAACATCAAAAGAAATTTATAATCTCTGGCATGTTCAAGCTCGTAATGCTATTGAGAGAATATTCAGGGTGCTCAAGAGGCGGTTCATGATACTGGTACACCCACCAGAGTATAGTATGTCAATGCAAGCTCGCATCCCCCCAGCCCTATGTGCGATCCATAATTTTATTTGCATTCATGATCCAACAGAAATAGAAGAATTTGCCGATGAAGATGTTGTTGACTGTGATCCAGGCAAGTCTAGAGGTGACCTTGCAGAGGGACCAGCTGACCGTGAAGAGAGGCAGCGGGTGACTGAAGACAGAGATCATATCGTGGTCGCCATGTGGGAGGACTACCATAGGATTTGTTGTGCTCATCAGAATACGTGAATAGAGACCTACAATACTAGTATTTGAATCTACAGAACCTGCCGGTTAATATGTTTGGTTTTTCTATCAACAAAAGACTTCCTTGGACCATCATCTGTCATGACCATATATGCATCAGCAGCACTGATGTCCATCTGAAATGTGTTATGACGAACTAGGATAGGTGCAACAACAGATACTCGATAAGAGTAACGTCTGAAGCTGAATCAAGACCTCACAAATGCAAGGCTTCTTAAGACAAGTTAGAGAGAGTGTCTCTGACTTGAATATCGATATCAGACACTTAGGATTGGGGGTCCTAAGTGAAGGATGTTTCGGGTAAAACCTAGTAAGATTAAAGTAAGGATCTACTAAGTACATGGCTGAGCTTTTATAGACGTAGTGGCTTTAGGGCCAGTACGTATTTGTCATCAAGATGAGTCAGAGATAAGACATACGTCATCAGGAGAATGAGTCATCTAGCGATGGCTGCTGCGGTCATGATGTAATACAGACGAGTCAGAGATAAGACATACGTCATCAGGAAAATGAGTCATCTAGTGACGGCTGCTGCGGTCGTGATGTAATACAGATATGGTGAAAGGTTTAGCCTAATGATGGCGCAGCGAGACACGGTCATGACGTAATACACGAATGAAGTGAAGAAAAGAGATAGGGGTAGACGTGATTGTAACAAAATGCTTCAATGAGCGCTGCCATACTATCATCATCAAGATACTTTTCTAGTTCCTGTGTGCATCGCATGGCCACCTGTTTGTGCTGAGGTGACAGTATAATAGATGGGCTTGAAGTGTGTGATTGCGACGAGGCTCAGAAGATGTCGCTGAATGCTGAAAATTGGTCATTGATTGTGTAGAGTGCCCCCGCTGATCCGCTAATCTGACGGCATTTTGATGGTGGACCAGAGCCTGTAGTACCAGATCCACAGGCAGTGAGGGAGGGTGTTGAAGACCAGGTAGATACAAACTTGTGCTTGACCATGGTTCTGACAGGAGTCACCTCCCAAGGAATAATATCATCTTCATCGTTGTCCTCAGCCACTACCTCTCTCTCGGCAACCGTTTTCCCTTTGTCACTGACCATTCCCACTACTCGCTCCTGGTCCTTGACATACTCATCAACTAACTGCTCTACCTCATCTTCCACAACAGGTTGAGTATCATTTCTGTTGGCCTGGTCATCATCAGGGGGTGCTTGTTCGGACTCGAACGTCTCATGTCCAGCATGGAAGGCATTGGTGCTGCGAGGGCGTTGTGTGCACATGAGTTCATCCATCTCGTGGAAGTGTTCCCAGCCCTTGTTGCAAAATGGTTTGGTATCAGGATGTGTCTGCAAACTCATAATCATATCAGTACCCCTCTCATATCATAACTGAAGCACACCTTTGCAAATGCCATCCAATGAGCAGCATCAGCAGGACCAATATTCACGCCAAGTTCATTGTCCCATGAAAAGCCTGATTGAGATTTGATATTGATAATAGCGGCATATTTTTTTTTGCACTGTGCAAATTACAATCAGAATATAATCTAGCATGAGCAGAGAACATACATTTAACCACTTGTTCTTGCATGATTGCCAGTCCCTGCCAGATCCCCCTACATGGTTCTCCTTCAAAACACCATCTGGTGGCTCCTGCAAATGAGTTGATGCGCCGGTAAAAGTAGACTGTTTGAATCCTGTCCCATCTCCACCTTTGGCACGGTGAGCTATGAGGTATTCGAGAAGGCGGGATGTCTCTTTGACAGTCCAGTGAGCAACTGCTAAAGTCCCGGCATTGTTTGCTGAAGGTACGGTAGTCTTTTTCTTCACTATAGCAGCGGTAAAGGGAGGTATGAGTGGGTGTTTGAGACCATCACACAAAGGTCACTGTTGGTCACTGTTATGTCACAAGTGCCACACCACATACAGAAACAAACTGAGAAACAAATGGCAGCTGTCCAGGCCCTAAAAAAAGAAAAAAGATGTAACAGGTTTCTTCACTGTAGAGACAACACAGACTATGGATCCACTGATCATGCATTCATCAACCGGTTTCTCCAAAGGGTTCCTACGCATCAGCGGGTGCCTGAACGTTTGGGTTTAACAAACCCTCTTCCGAAGTTCCCACTAACGTGGGAGTCATAGATATGTATTCCGCCGATGTCAACGACACACGAGTCACGGTTACGCATCTAGCCGAGCACACCGCAACAGTGAAATACCATGACAAGCCGGGTATTTTTGAAACGAATCAATAAATCGGTGGGGCTAGAGAAGTGACGGTACGAAATTCTGATAAATGGTGCAGTCACGTCGCCCAGCGTATAATTATTCTAGATTCATGCTGGAAACACCACACCTTTCCGTCAGAGATAGTAGTCCCGAGCAGTACATCCATCATCAAGGCGCTGCTAGCACAAGCGTGGAGCATCAGATAGGCGATGATGTTGCGGGCTGTGTCGGCACACGGACTTGGATGCCGTTCCTTCTGAAGATGTTTCGGTGATTGAGGCTGCTTCATCTCTATCTTCTGCAAGTTTGCGGTCGCTACACTCGAACTTTCCGTGCCATTCGTCTGGCTCCTCGCATTTTTATCTACCTAACGCTTTCGTAAGTCACATGCAGCGATCATACTGTCTCCTATAATCTTGCATTACTTTGTAGTGTGGACGCGATGAATAGCTTACAAGGATCCATGAGCGATTTTGATGCAAGTGTTGTCATCGGGCCCGTGCAAGTCTTTGGGCTTCTGAGTGGCGCATTGTTCGGCTGCCTTGCCTGCCAGTCCTACGTGTATTTTGCAAAGTTCGCGAGCGACTGTCTCGCCCTGAAAGCAACTGTAAGTCGGTTACAACTGGCACGATTCATGTTGATTTTATCTATCACGTCATACAATTAGGTATCTGCAGTCCTGTGCGCCCTATGTGTGACTTTGCTCCTACGAATATTTATACATGCTCTGCAGCTTGATTCAGCTGGGCCACTTCGTCTGCATATTGTCAATGTTATGGACAATGACCGT